AAACCTGAGGTGGTACATCCAGTTGACTGGTCGTCACGTTGTCCAAGGAAGCAACAGTCTCCCTCAGCATTCGCGTGAAATTGCCGTAAAAGCCAGCTACGCCAAAATTATATACACCCAGATCCCTAGAGTAACGTCAGGGCAATTCCCGTCAACGCGTGTATCGTTAGTCTTACCATGGTGCCATGGACAGCACGAGTAAGTCTACTTGACTCTTTTTGCCAGGAGTTACCCAGGTTGGTCGGAAAGAGTAGACGTCCGGATTCCAGAGGAACTGGATATCTATGGGCTTACCGGCCTCAGTATGAATGGTTAGGTTGCCATCCGATTGTCCATTGCCCCAGAAACGGAAATTGGGCTCATAGTAGCGATTGATAAGCTCCGCAGCTTGGTTTCTAATCAAGGAATCACCAGAAAACACCAATCGTTTTCCTGCGAGACATCGATCAAGGTCCTGCCTTGTGAAAGTGTGATATCGGCACCCGCTGGGCTCGAAGAAGGCATGGTTTGCCCGAAGACCTTTGTACTCTTTAGCATCGGTACCTTTAGGCGGGCGAATGTCCGGAACCTCGCGCCAGGCCCAAGTGCCATGGTAAGAACGGGTATCTGGGCACAGCGGCCGTGTGTATGGATAGGGTATCGGATACTTTTGAAGATCTACGTTGGAGTGGTTGTAGTAAAGAAGCGGCATGACTTGCTTCTGCAGAACGCGAGGACGATTAGGCGGCTTGATGTCGGTATAAGAAGGGGGTATAGTCGTTGGGGGTAATATTAGGTGGTCGAAATCCTCCTTTGCATCAATGATTTCGTCAGTCGTTTGTCGGAACTCACGCTGTCGATCAAAGACTAGCAAAAAGAATGAGAACTTGCTGAGTACACGGTTCAAGAGGGAGGAGGAAAATCGCCGCTTACCATTGCCTACATGTGAGCTTGACCCACTATGATGAAGGGCATAGATGATGGTCAACACCTGAACGATGCACAGGCAGATAAACAGACTCTGTTTGATGCCGTGTTCGCTTCTATGTTCGAAAGTCATCTTTCTACGTGTGAGACGAGCTTGAATAGAAGTAGGTATTTACGCTGATATGCAATGATTTCGATTCGGCCCCAATGTCGCTGACATCGGAGTCAATTCCCCGTGCAGATACCAAACAGGCAGCTATCGATAAACAAGCCACCTACAAACTGATAAGTATAATAGAGTGACCAGCCAAGAGTGAAAGAGAGAAGAGCAGAATGACTGATGCCAAGTCTTACAGCAAAAAATTGACTTGCAAGGAAAAGAGGATTTCGAACTCCGCTCTCACTGCTAATTAGGCCATGTTCGGGGCAAGGCGCACGATATACCCGTTGTTATCGTGTATTTTGATCAATGCTGCGAAGAGGCAATTTTGACAACGGCAATCAGTGACCATCAAGGAGTCCTGCTAGAGGTGTATGTAAACCGGTACAGCAAGGCGTCTCCGATTGCTAATTTAATTCATTTGGTTGATCTGTCTCAAATATAGTACCACATCATAAATTGCAGGGTGGTGCGTGGCCAGTTTGGTTCCAGGAAATCCTGTTACAACTTGGATGCAGGTCACAAACCTTCCTCGTTCCATACCAAAAATGGGATCTGCGGGCTACTGGGCCACCCGGTGGCGTAGGACTTGCAAGGCAAGTATGCGAGTATGCAAGCTCATCCAGGGATGACAGATATCCGCAGGTAAATCTTGTGTTTTGCTTCAAACCGATTAGCGTGTACAAGAAGCTAGACTATCAGCTAATTAGCAGTGACGCCATGAGTCTTAGCGAACACTATAAAAGGTAAGACTGCCCTGGACGATCTGTGTCATCGAAGCGACCAGTTCATATCCGATGAATATGGGGCGTATGATAGACGACTGATCGAAGCTGAAACCTTCAATGATCCCATTTATTCTGGTACGGTATTGGTGAAGATGGAAGGTATGGAGAGTTCCACACTATACTGCGTGGAAAACAAGGGATGACTAAGCGAACATGAAGGCATTTCTGTTCGGTACACATAGAAGCTTGATTTCGGGCGAGGCGATTTTCATGAGAAAGGGGAACGCGTAAGAGTCACAGGACAGATTATCTCATTCGACAACAAGCATCTGAAGCCAACATTGGCTGCCGCTCCGCCGCCGAGTCTTTCCGCTTTAGTTGTCGACACACTTACCATGTTCGGCCTTTTGTCCCTTTGCCTGCTGTGTTGCCGAGACGTTGCGTTCACGGTACAACCTGTTTTCTGCGGACAGTCTCGGAAGTCTGATACTTGTGTTGAATGATCATCTGTAATTCACCCGTCGCCTTGAAATACCGTCTTAGAAACTTGCCCTCGCAAGGTTATTGGCACCGTTTGCGAGAGTCTCTGCTTTACGCCTGACCAACACATGTCCATCGGCAGAAGGATGATTGAGCACACTGAGCGTAAAACTGGAGAAACCTGCTGGGACATTGAGTTTGTGAGAAGCTGATTTCTGCCATCAAGAGTACTAATCAAACCCCTGCAAGTTCGACTTGAGCGACAATGTATCGGTATCCGTCGCGAAACACATGTACAGAGAATACCGGCCAAGTGAGGAACAGATTCAGACGTCGAAGGCAGTGTTGTTCGTAAGCGAAACGCCAGCCGACCTCGATAGATTGGCTCTCCAAGTCCCGGAGCCGACGTTGCATCTTTGACCGCGTCCTTTTGTAGTCTGTATTGGCAATTGCAATCACTCCCTCAATCTCTTTCAGTCTATTCAGCTGTTCGGCAGCGGCGCTTATTCGTGTGGACTCCACCATTGGTAGTTTTGATGTGCAATATACCCTCACTCTCGTCGCTCAGATCTCTCTTGCGCTTCCTCGCGCTTGTAAGACAATGGTTGCAAGTTTGTAGACCTTGAGACCATTAGGGTTTTCCTCCTCGATCTTGAAATTCACGTCAGGGTACCAATTTGGCGCAACTTCACAGGTCTGATCCATGGTCACAGAAGCAAGTGCGCAACGGAAGAGAAGTGGAAACAGTCTTGCCAAAATCCACCGAATGTAAAAAGCTGCTCGTTGAGTGACGTCACTCAGGTCCATCTGCAAGTCACTCGATAAAAATGATGAATTTGCCCATAAGGAGTGTTGTTGATAGAATTTTTATCAATTCCCGTTAGTCAAGTGGTTATGATATTCGGCTTTCACCCGAAAGGCCCGGGTTCAATTCCCGGACGGGAAACTTTTTTGTCATTTCCTTTTTGAGTTTGTGTAACCAGTATAAACTTTTTTGACTCACAACGCATTCACTTTGCACGTCTACTCTTTGTGACAAGTATGACATCTGAGACGGTTACTAAAGACAAGAAGGAGGTAAAGAAGGAGAAGAAGGAGAAGAAGGAGAAGAAGGAGGCCAAGGAAGCGCAAGGTATGTGGATGAGGACAAAGGGAGCTGTTGATCAAAGTGTCCCTGAATCGCTGATTGGGTTCGTATTCTGCGTGTAGCCGCCGTCAAGGGTGCCTCTGAGATGGGCATCAGCATTCGCAAGGATGTGGATTTCGCTGGATGGTACCAACAGGTTCGTCGCATGTTATAGGTGCCATCCCGAACGCGTATTGACGCATGTTCTCTATTAGGTTTTGACAAAGTCGGAGATGTTGGAGTACTACGATGTTTCGGGATGTTATATCCTTAGACCTTATTCTTACAATGTATGGAAAGAGATTCAAAGTAGGTCTTGCCAGTCGCTTCTCGATAGGTGTGTGCTCATGGCATCTGCAGATTTCTTTGACGCGAAAATCACGGAAATGGGCGTGGAGGACACGTACTTTCCCATGTTTGTATCCAACAAGGTTTTGGAAAAGGAAAAAGATCATATCGAAGGATTCTCTCCCGAGGTTGCTTGGGTTACGAGGGCTGGAAGCTCCGATCTTGAAGAGCCTGTGGCAATCAGACCTACATCAGAAACTGTTATGTATCCCTACTTCGCCAAGTGGATTCGCAGTTATCGCGATTTGCCCTTCAAGGTAAATCAATGGAACTCTGTTGTCCGTTGGGAGTTTAAGCACCCTCGTAAGTCTTATCTACAGTCAAACCTACATGTCGCCGTGCTCAACCGCCCTATTAGAACCCTTCTTGCGAACCCGTGAATTCTTGTGGCAAGAAGGACACACGGCGCATCTCACCAAGGAAGAGGCTGATACCGAAGTCCGTGAAATATTATCTTTGTATGCTCAAGTCTACTCCGACTTGCTTGCGGTCCCGATGATCCAGGGTGTCAAATCAGACAAGGAGAAATTCGCTGGCGGTTTGTACACCACCACAGTTGAAGGTTATATTCCCACTACCGGACGAGCCATTCAAGCTGGAACATCGCACTGTTTGGGACAGAACTTTTCAAAGATGTTCAACATTGTGGTGGAGGATCCCGATACAACCGGCAAAGCTGACGGTGAGGCAGCCAAGAAGCTCTTAGTTTGGCAAAACTCTTGGGGTCTTTCGACCCGTACTATTGGTGTCATGGTCATGGTCCATGGTGACGACAAGGGCCTGGTGATGCCTCCCCGAGTGGCCAGCATTCAAGTTGTCATTGTTCCTTGCGGTTTGACGGTGAAGACCTCTCAAGAGGACAGAAGGAAGGTGGAAGATGAAGTTGTTCGGATAGAGAAGGCACTTAAGAAGGCTGGTGTGAAGACCAAGGCCGACCTTCGTGACAACTACAGCCCCGGCTTCAAGTTTGCTCATTGGGAATTGAGAGTAAGTTCGAGCCATACCTGGGAGATGTGATGGATAGGTGACTCATATTGGTCTAGGGTATCCCTCTCCGTATCGAAGTTGGACCCAAGGATTTGCAAAAGGAACAAGTTGTCGTTGTACGGAGAGACAATGGCGAGAAATCATCCATTCCCACCAAGGATCTTGAGAATGACATCAAGAATCTATTGGATACCGTTCAGAATGACATGTACGCTCGTGCAAAGAAGGTTCGCGATGATGCGATTGTCCGAGTTGACAAGTGGGAGGATTTTGTTCCTACTCTGAACAACAAGTGCTTGTGTCTCATCCCCTGGTGTGATCGCACGGAATGCGAGGATGATATCAAGGAAAAGAGCGCTCGAAGGTATGCAAGATGGTGAATGTGTGGATGATGCGGATATGAATGCAATGTTTTCACTTTTAGGGATCAACAAGATGAGCCAGAGGATGAACGTGCTCCTTCTATGGGTGCCAAATCTCTTTGCATGCCATTTGATCAACCCACAGAAAACCCCATCGTTCTCGGCGAGACCAAGTGTGTCGCCTGCGGAGAGAATGCAAAGCATTTCATGCTCTTTGGTAGAAGCTACTAATTTGCCCCGCTCATTCTGTGGGTATCGATGTTGAACGCGGTGTCCTGAACGCTTGTAGTGTAAAATGATCTAGAAGACAAGAAGGGGGAGGCCATTTAAACGCCGGCAATGTTTTAGGCTCTAAATTTACATAGGAAAAGGGTCATACGTCGAAACTATTCGCGGAGGCGTCCGAAATGCACACGATGCTGCCAATCCGGCTTCATCCAATCCATCAAAAGGATTACAAGTAGCCGCTCCTTCGGATCTACTTTCCAACTCTGTTTCTATATAACCAAACTTGAGCTCATACTCTTCCAAATCCTCTAGGAAGTCACGGCACAAAACATTGAGCAATCGAGTGCCCAGCATGTCCAGTACCGTATGCTGATAATGGACGCCGTCAAAGGTGTTGTCATAGGCAAACTTGTTACTGGTCAAGTCGATGGTATCTAGAATATCAATATTGGGGTTGATGGACATTTCGTTTTGAACTCGGCTAAAACATTCCAATGCCCGACGTTGCGCTTCCCGAAACCAGGTTTGACGCACTGGCGTATTACACACCGTACATGGCCCTCCATATGGTACTCTGCACCGATCTGGATGCATGGCGGGTGCACGGAAGAAGACAAGACGTGGATCAATCCAATCATCCGGTGTCGTTTCGAACCGAAAGGCTCGCGTTGCCTTCTGCAATACGTTTTGAAGCGATTTGTAGTATGTGACGAGACCATCATTAAATACGCCCATATCCCTATTATACAAGCGCCGTCAGACGATTTTAGCCTCGGGTTGTGTGCTTACCAAATCATCATGGAGAGCACCAGGGTATCGAACGCAGGGACCTCGACGGATGAGATATTCTTGCTCATCGGGTCCAACCAATCGATCCATTGGCTCAACGACTCGCCAAAACCTTGCTGAGGTGCGTTCCATTTGGTTTCAAAAGCATAGACCGAAGGAGCCCAATACCAATGAAATTTGAACGGTTGTTGCGATGATTGGGTGTCTAGGCTCACGATCTGGTCATCTTGGCCATTGTTCATGAATCCTTGCCAAACAAAAGTGGCATCAAAGTATTTGTGGATGATGGAGGTGAGGGTTGTTCTTAGAAGGGAGTCCCCTTGGAAAATCATAGTTCGATTGGCTAAACATCGATGGACCTGAGGTTTGGTGAAGATGTGATATTGGCATGCGTTCGGCTCATAAACGGGCCACTGGGCTTGTTCATGGTTCTGAGTCGTAACAGTGTCGAAGGAGGATGGTGAAATATATGAATTATATTGTCCGGGGCAGGGGGGCTGCTGCAAGTTCCAAATACCGGGGTAAGACTTGCCGTCAGGACATAATGGTCTTCCTCTGACCGTCGTTGGTTTTCCGGTTTTAGAATCTGGTTCAATCACTTCCACTTCGTGGGTGCTGCGGATTGGGTACCATAGAGCACGTTTCTGGCATGAAAATCTTCTTTGGGTCGGTGGTTCTTGAACGACATAGAGCGAGATGTTTCTCGGCGTCTCGATTGAGATTCCCTCGTTGGCGTCCTGTGTTCCTCCATCCTGTTGTACATTCTGCTTGTCTAATATCGTGTCAATCAAAACGTAATCATTGTCCGTCAGCGTACCATTGTGAATATGTACTGAAGGTGAACACGACGAGTTACTATACAGCAGTAATATAATGATACCCTGTGCGATGACTATGGCTGCGCAAGCCGCTACCAGGCTTCCTGAGCGACTGTGATAACGCACTGTTCGACCCATATAATCACGACACGAAATCGTTCTACGGGACGGAAAGGGATAACAAGACTTTAGACCGAAAGGAGCCACTATGTGACCATGAACATGACGAAACCAACTGCCACGCAATGGACGTTGATGTACAGACATCAACTCGCGCGGCCTAACCCCATATATGGTAACGCTGTATGAGCCAGACGCGTTCAGATCAGAATACGTCCTTCGGCAGCTTGAAAAATTTCCTCCCGTTTCGCATTGCTTAGTGCCGGGCTTCCCGCTACAGGTGCGTATGGTAGTAAATACACGATAATGGGAGGTATTAACGACGCGGTGCAGAATGAAATCTTCCGGTGTACTGTAACAAGGCAAAGCATTAATCTTGGCTCCATCGATCCGTACATCATCTTGTTGGTATGCGAGTTGCAACACACAGCTCGCCGATGCTCAAGTGACTTGTTGCCTTGGTGCTTGCCATACTTGTTCTGTTGGTCATTGCTCAACATCATTCAGATACTTCGCATGAATCATTGATAGAACGGGCATCCAATCTACGTTCGACGCTCAAGTAGCATTTGGGTTTGGACAAGCCAGCCACAAAGACGTTCACACCATGCATGGAACCGCAATCATGCTACAATTTCTGTCCAACTTGTCGCGGTGACAATGATACGCTATGCGGTTATTATGGTGAGAGTACAATCGAGCGATCTTTCGGTTATACAGGCACCGGAGTAGCTTTGCGGAAAAAGTTACGTCAATGGCGGGATGGTCAGGGATTAAAGATCGGCATCGTCGGTGGCTCTGGTAAGTCAATGGCCCTTGTCTTGCCTTGTCTCAATGTCTTCGCAGTGTCGGCAGGCCACAATATGGATTACACACAGACGTATTCGCAGAATTTGTTGCGATAGCTGCAAAGTATCGACAGGACATCGTCAAATGTGGAGAATGGTGCATTATGTGCTGTTGGGTCTGAATACTTTGCGTTCTGTTACGCGCACCACATCCCGGAAGATGTTGACGTAGTTATCATCGAGTTCGGTATCAACGATGCGAGCGTGTTCAAAAGCTACAAAGGTGAAGGTGATCAAAGCGTTACCAATCTTATGGAGATCCTGGTGAGGAATATTTCACGCATGCCAAAGAAGCCAGCTGTTATTCTCCTCGAATGGTT